CAGTAACAGAGTTGAAGTTAAAAGACTGTCGTTAATCGCAACCAAAGTTATATTCACTTATTTCATTGAAGCAAATAATTATTTAATTATTCTTATAAATATTGTTATTATTAATTATTGTTATTTTGCTACATTTTTATGTGAATAATGGCTTGAGAGGTGAAAACGATTTCCTGAAAAACTTTAATATTTTTTGCCAAAATAATTGCGTTGTTTATTCGAATTTACGACTTGGCAAACCAAAGCCAATCCAGAAAAATCACTCACTCACCATTATAGGTAGCAGCCGAAAGAAAGAGAGCTTAGCCGAGAATTTGTATAGACATAATCAGAAAAAAAAATTTAGACTCAGTTAGCGACATAGGCTCAGATAGCGGAAAAAAAGCAACTACAAATATTTTCAGATATGATTTCGGATGGAAGTTTTAAAAAAATTCAAAAAAATAAAGCCAGCGAAGTAAAGAAAAACTATTAGAAAATGATATATCTTAGATAACATAAAATTAAAAATTTTTGGGAAGTTATCACATTTTAAACTGAATGAAACGTCTCGGTGATATAAATACCAAAAACATCACTCAAATAACTGATAAGAATTGCTCCCATAATAATCAAATATGCAACTATGAAATGAACATAAGAGTTTAAGAGACATAAGAATTTTATTTCATTTTAGCTCAGTTTTATTATATAATTAGATAAAATAATATGGAATTTCAGACGAATACCATAAATACCAACTGATTATTGATAAATGTGGTAGATTATCGATGGTACCATTGAAAAATTCTTGTCACTGAATGTAACCATCGATTAGTGCACTAATATTAAGAAAATAAAAAGAGCAAAAAAGTAAAAATAAAAATAGAGATAGAGATAGGACTAACAATTTTGAAAACGAATGAATGAAGAATGAATGAATGAATTTTCTTAATGTTTAACGAAAACTGAAAATCAAAGAGAATAATCCATTCGAATTGAGAACTCTTAAGTATTCTCGGAATCCTTCGATCAACGACGATATTCTCCGATTTTGAATTTTTTTATCACTTTTATTACTTTTCTTCGAATATTCGGATGTTTTTCTTTCATCCAGCATATTAGAATTAGAATTAAGATTTGGTCGGAATAACCACTTCTTGGCCCAAATCCCATCATTTTTCTTGGGAAATGGGAACAGAATGCATTGTTATATTCACATGGCGTTTGCTTATCCTCCTACACCAGTAAATATAATTTTTGCGAAAAAAATGAGACTGAGCAGCATTTGAAGAATACTGCCTGAAGATCATCCTATACAGGATGATACAGGATATTAATGGGGTTTTAAGGCTATTAAGGATCGCCTCAGAAGATGATAATAATTTTTAAGGCCAAGCTTTTGAAAAGGCAATAAAATCGGTGTTGTTCGTATTTTGATGATTGCTGGGAACGAAAAAGAAAATTTGTTAGAGACCTGCCGGTTTCCTTCAAATGATTATTTGTAGTGAAATTTGATAGATAAATCTGATAAATATAATCAATAATCACTGCAAATTTTATCCTTTTACTTAGGCTGCAGCACTCATCATTTTATTCGAGGAAAAACATTGTATATTCGTACTCGTTAATCGGAATTCTGGATTCTGGAAACCTGAGCATCGATGAATGGTACTTGATAAGCCCTCAGGAAATCCTCTTTGCATATTCGTGCTATTGTGGCATTCTCAAAAACGCATCGCACTTGATCAATTCTAATCGAATCCTTATAATCCTTCTCGATGGGAAAATAATAACATTAGCATGTCGACTAAGAATTCTTCAATTAGAAAATCGATAACACTGGTCTGAACCAAACATGCAGTTTTTGGCCAATTTTACTTGCCTCCATCGAAGGATTTCATAAAAATACGAGCATGGGACTTATCAGTGATAACACTGATTATATAACACTGATAATACTGATTATGCATAAGTGAAAACACTGATTATATAACACTGATAGCATTCAGATTCAGATTCATTTAAAACTATCAGTTCGAACACGCCATTTCACTTTACCACTGCGAATTGAATTTTTCAAATAAAGGCATTTAAATTTAGTTTATGTCTCAAAACGAATGACTGAGTTTTCAATTTTAAATTTCCCTTCCTTGCGGAAATTTTATTTATTTCTTTCCACCGCCGCGTGACTGACCCTTTCCTCCTTCTACGTTGAAGACGGCGTTCCGCTTTCGTGCAGCGTTGAACGAGGACTTAGTGGGTTGTAGAGTTGTGGTTTGTTTCTTCCTGCGGCATTGCTTAGTCACTTGCTGCACTTCAGTTTTCTTCGGCCTCACTTCGGTCGAGGTGAACCCGGAGGAACGGCGATTAAACAATAACCGATAACCGATCCACATCCATAGGCAATTATTTTACTACCTTAATTAGTGAGACCAGTACTTTGTGGCATTCAAATCTGTCTGATTGATAGTTTTAGCAAATTTATCAATTATTGTCTTATCAGATTTAATAAAGAAAAATCTTAATAAACTTCTCCTTTAGTGCTTTTTTTACTTTTTTCGTTCACTTTAATAATATTCGTGATAAATTGCCATCGATAAATATATATTATATATTAAGTTTTTTTAATATTTTTTCTTTATTTAGTTATTGATTATGCATTCTGCGATGATTTCAACACTAAAATTCCGTTTACCTCAAAAGATTCAGTTTAATTCAAAATTTCCAGCTAATTCGCATACTGTTTATACTAATTTCGACCGTCCCAGTCGATCTTTTGGTTTGTTATTTTTCCATTAAAAAATTTTCCTATCGACGATTTTAAATTACATAAGCCGACTTACTTTGTTATATTTTATGGCTTTTGACTTTAAAGACATTTCATATATTTTTTCATATTTTTCATATTTTTTTGTTGTTTATTTATATGTTTTTCTGTTGAAGAATCACGCAGTCGCAGAAATCAACTGCGATCATGGTGGGGAAATCGATCGTCTAATGCTGGGACAAGGGGATTATTTCATCGTCGCCACCAAAGAGATAAAATATCTGCGGAACACTTTTTTCGAACCCCGAAGAGTCATAAGCGATCGGATATTTTGTGTATTGATGAATCACGTCCCGAAATAATTTTTAATAGTGTCCATTGGCGTTTTCCGAATGCTAAGCGTGTAAGTATTTTATTTGCAAATATGTTTTTTATTTTAAATTCTTCATGATATACTTCGCAGTGTCAGAATTTTGT